TTTGAACACAAGAGCTTTCTGTGCTTCCAGCCTAGCCTAAGGATGATTTCCTGGAGAGCACCATCTCCAGCTGCGGAATCTTTTCATGATGTCCAAGCAAAGATCTGTGAAAGTGGTATTTTTAGGTCCTCTGGCCACTATGAAATACATTCTTTTCATATTCCTTATATAACCTCCATTTGAAAGAGCCAACAGGCTTTGGAGCCTTTCCCACTGCTTTCATATCTCAGTGGGAGCGGAAAAAAAAAATAATGGCAAACTAGTTTTATGGCCTGCATATCATCTCTGACAAAAGCAACTATTGCTGCTATTAAACTTGCAAGTGCACACACAGGCACAGATAATCATGAACACCAAGAGGCAGCAGGGACGGCTCAGCAACGTGGCACTGCTGAGCCAGGCAGTTCTGTGTGCCAGGCTGGCCAGTTCCCTCCAGGCTGGATGCAAACATCACCAACCAGTTAGGGAACTGAGGCCACACACTGCACAGCCCCCTTCCACACAGAGAGGCTGGAGGAGGCATGGTAAGGTATGTTTAAAATCCTTCTCCCCATTCCTAATGGAGGTGTGACCCTGCCGATCATAAACACACCCAGCACCAGGCCAATAAACTGGCAATATACTGCCAGCTTCGTTAGGTGGGAGCAAGCAGGACAGCTTGGCACAAACAAGGCTGCAGTCATGACCTGCAGTTCAGTGTCCTGTGTGTGAGAAGAAGAGGCTGCTGGGGTCAACAGAGTGCTCCTAGCTCAAGTCCAGGGGGAGAAGAGCTCTGAGTCTAAACCGGGTCTGGGAAGGAAAGTAGTTTGGGAACTGTATTTCCAAGGCTTACTCTGGCTTTGGACCTGGAGGGATGCCAGGCTTGCCTGATCATGACTGCCTTACCAGCTTTCAGAGGCCTGAGGCCACCCCTACCTTGGGAGACCAGTTGTGGATGGAGACATGGGTTCACAAACCCCCAGGCTCTGCAGGCCATGCTCCACTCCAGAGTCCCGTCTGTCAGGAAGGACATGGAGGTGCTGGAGCAGGTCCAGAGAAGAGCAACAAGGCTGGGGAAGGGACTGGAGCACAAGTGCTGTGAGGAGAGGCTGAGGGAGCTGGGGTTGTTCAGCCTGGAGAAGAGGAGGCTCAGGGGAGACCTCCTCACTCTCTGCAACTCCCTGACAGGAGGGGGGAGCCGGGGGGGGGTCGGGCTCTTCTTCCAAGCAACGATCAGTAGGACAAGAGGGCTCGGTCTTAAGCTCTGCCAGGGAAGATTTAGGTTGGATATTAGGAAGAAAATCTTTACAGAGAGGGTAATCAGGCATTGGAATGGGCTGCCCAGGGAAGTGGTGGATTCTCCGCCCCTGGAGGTGTTTAAGATGAGACTGGATGTGGCATCAGTGCCATGGGCTGGGAACCACAGTGGTAGTGGATCAAGGGTTGGACTTGACCATCTCGGAAGTCCCTTCCAACCCAGCTGATTCTATGATTCTATGATTCTATGATTCTATGATTCTATGATTCTATGACTAGTGGCTCTCTGCTGATGCTGAGCTGCCCAAAAGGTTTCTTTAATTTGTGGTGTCCAGAGATTCCACCTGCTCTCCAAGGACCAGAGCCCCTCCTGGCCTGAACTGCACATAGATTATCTTTATTACAGGACTGTTATGTTTGCACAGTTTAGTGATTTAATATCAGTTTAAAGCCTTCTCTGTGAGCAATGCTGTTTGAAGTCATGCTCTCTCTTTTCAGCTCAGCTTGCCAGGACTGTAAAACCTTTATTGCTAATGGTGGAAAAGCTTAAAGAAGCCAAGATAACTTTCCCAGGCTGGGTATTAAGACTGGGTTCAGATGAGTAAATAAGTGAAGAGTATTACATGGACTTCATTAAATATCAACCAACACCAACAGCCACTCATTTATAACACAACGGCAGGGCGAGGGAGCACCCAGGAGCAGAGCTGGGAAAGGTATGAATCACATGGGATAGGAGAGATGAACATGAGAAAGGCTGGAATTGCCGTGGAGCTCCAGGTGTGGCTCCCAAGGTCACAACACAACTCCTGACTGAAGCTCCTGCAAAGACTATAGATTTGGAGCTGATGAAGTGGCAGAGTTGGTGTGGTTCATCTCCTCTCAGCTGGGGAGGGCTCTGGGTATGTGGGTGTCCTTCTCCCTTCTGCCACAGTGGGTAAGGACAAAATTCTCCCTCCTAGGAGGGAGAATTTAAATTCAAGCTGCAGCCAGCACATCTCCCGGGACTGTCAGTTCTTGGATGTTTGTTTTTTAGCTTTTACTTCCTTATAGACAGCTCCTGCCTTTACTGGTTTCTAGTCCCAGGGTGCCAACACCAGGAAGAGTAAATTACAGAAAGTCTTGCTACAGTTCCTGTGATTTCCTGTGCCAGTACTTTAAAACTCCCCCTACAACTTCGCTTGGTGTTTGAAACCCCTCTCTTTCATTCACCATCCACTGCTCTTCATGAGTTCAACACTCTCCACATAAGAAAAACTGAGGTAAGGACCATCCCCAAATTATATTTCACTTCCAGCCCTTCCTCATTATGAAGTATTCTAACTTCTACTTTCCTTCCTCATTTTCTCTCACCTGCCTAAGGCTCTTGCTCTCATTTTAATATCCTTTTTCATATCTCTCAGTGTGATTGCTACTCATTCTCCCTTGTTTCCTGCCCTTCTTTTTCCCCAAAGCAGAGCTTCCTTCACACGTCACTCCTTTCAAACATCCCTGCTTACTCCTAACACCCTGTTGCAGCAGCCATTAACCAGTCAGGACTGGAACTGTCACCTCCCTGCTAAATTTTCCTCCCTTGTTTGAGAGGTGCAAATTCCAAGCTGATTTTGCAACCTCTAGCATAAATTCCCATTTGCAGCTCTAGTATCTCCCAGCTGTTTGGTGTTTTGAAGCCTTTTCTCAAACCAGCAATGAGCCAGATCAGGTGATCCAGGAAACTCTGTCATGTTTTCAGCTGTGAGGCCACAGATTCATCTCCCCAACACACATCTTCTTCCTCTCTCCAGACTGTTTGTAGCTGCCAGTTTCAGGCTCTTATCTCTCCCCTGGGACTCCAGGGGCTGCTTCTGTCACACTTGTGCTGCAGGAGCTGTTTGAATGGAAATGGGATCAGTGCAAGTTCTCTTGTCCTCCTGAGGTCCCTTCCAACCTCATTTTTTCCCACAGTCTACTGGGGAGGGCATGGAGCAACATCACAAACAGATCCAAACTGGTCCCAGCTTCAGGCACCATCTTGCCAAGTTGCACCCAGGTCTGGGCCGGACTATCACCACAGGGTGGAATCAATGCACTCCTCTTCTCTGTAACGTCTCTGTGACACACTCAGTTGGTTTCCATGCTGGCATATCTCTTGCCAGGTCCAGTGCCACTGGAACATTTTCCACTTTGGAAGGGTGAGTTTTTGGGAGAGAAATAAATCAGAGCTGAACCTCTGATGCTACAGAAGGGCCTTGATTCCTGCTGCGGGTTCCTGGGATTTCCGCTCTTTGTCCAACTATCTTTGGCTCCCTCTCCTGGCTGAAAACACGGGTTACAGCCAAGAGAAAAGAGCAGAAACCACCACGCTCCGGGGACCCTCCAGCCTGCGGACAGTCCTGATGCTGACTAGAGGATGCTGAAGCGTTTGCAATCTAACTTTGCATCCTTTGATCAGTGGGGTTAAACATGTTATTTCCCCTTCCCCGGCACTCCCTGTTGAACCCTTTTTAATGCAGCAAGCCTGGGAGTTTTATTTTTATTGCAAATTCCACGCAGGGATGTCAGGCATCACCACCTGAACTCCTGTGGGATACGGCTCTCTGCCCTCTAAGAAAGAAAACCAAAGCCAAAAACCCCCCAAAATCTCCCTTTATTAACATTTAGTCCCTCTGTTGGCGTTTAAATTCAGAATACAGCCAGCACATCTCTTGGGCCCCACTTCCATCCAACTGTGCTTGCCTGGCCCCTGCTTTGAGGCTGCCCTAACCCTGGCCAGGTAATTCCACGGTTGCTCTGGCTGACAGGGAGCAGCTCCAGGGCCCGCAGATGGTGCTGTGACCTTATTCCCGGCTGCCTTTCTCCTCTGCTCCCGGTCTGGGAGGTCGCTGCTGTCTCACAGACACCGGCTGAGTCACAGATGGGGACAGCGGGCTGGGAGAGACCCTGGAGACATGTCAGGTCATCACCTGAGTGCTCCTGCTCTCGAGGGTCAGCTCTGGGGGGTCCTTTTATATACATACATACATATATATATATATGCACACGCATACATACACACACACACATATATATGTGTATGTATGTATACATATATGTGTAATGTATATAATATTTATTTATAATACATAATAACATAGCATTATATAGAATAAATTGTATATACTGTATGTATATATATTATATATAAATAGTACATACTATATGTATGGTATGTTATATATTATATAAAATATATATTATATATTATTGTATAATATATATGTATAAAATATATATTTATATATAATGTATGAATATATATTATACATTATGTATATACATAATATATAATAGATACATTATATATTATGTATATACACGTGTATATGTTATGTATATACACGTAATATGCACATATATGTATACATATGTACAGATACATGTATATAATGCACGTATCATATTAAAATACATTATTTTATACTTTTACACATTATTATATTTATTACACACACAGCTGTGCCTTCGCGGCTCGCGGCCGCAGGCGCTGACAGGCCGTTCTGCCAGAGGATAAGGTGGGACTAAAGGGCAGAGTGGCCGCGGGGTTCCCTCACGCTGCGACGGGCAGATGCCAGCGATGGAGGAAAAGAGGCATTTTCGGTCCAAGGCCGAACACGCAAGGATCCGGTGGGAGCTGCTACTCCCTGAGGGAACCGGGACCAGGACCGGGACCAGGACCAGCACCGGAAGCGGCCCCGCCCCGGGCCCATCGCGCAGGCGCGGCCGTGGCGTCACTTCCGGCGGCCGGAGCCGTTCCGGGGCGGCGGGGCCGGGACGCGGCGCTGCTGCTGCGGGAGCTCCGGTAGGGGGGGACGGGGGAGCCGGGGCCGTGTGTGGGTAATGCTGGGCAATCCTCGCTCCGCCCGCCGGGACAGGCACCGAGGGGGTGCGTCCTGCCCGTCCCGGGCTGTAACGGGGTGAGACGCGTCCCTGGGAGCGGTCCCGGTGCGCCGGGACCTCCCCGAGGAACCCGGGGAAGGCGAGGCGGGAGTGTGTCGCCGCAGGAGGAAGGCGGTGGTGTGGGACAGGGGTTCCCGTGTGACAGCCAGGAGCGCTGTCATGTGCTGTGAGGGGCTGAATGCGAATAGCTCAGCAAAATAAAGGCATACTTTGTCCCCTTCCAGCCCCAGGTCTAGCTACAGTAATTATACCAGGCTTGCAACAGTCTAATTTTACATTGTTCTCTGTCCACCTGTGACTGGATTTGGAAATGGAGCCCCCAGTTCAGAAACGCTGGCATGCTGCTGAAAACTAGATTAAGCCAACCTTAGTACCCATGCAGTGCTGGTATAAAAGTCTGCAGTTTTCTTAACCCGCTCATCCAGTCCGTGCAGTGCAGCCATTTCTTACGTTCCTGAATGCAGCTGCTCCTGAATTGCTCAAAACGTTCACGTGGGCAGAGATGCTGATCAGTGCCTGTGTTTGCCAGAGGCTCAGGACTGTTTGGGCTGAGCTGGGAGAGCTGCTCAGAAGAGGGTGTAATTTGACCAAATGTGAGAATCCTGCCTAACTCTGATGTGTTTGATTTGCTTTAGTTTCCAATTGAACACAGGAAATAAACATTAAGGTGAATTAAATTCTGTATTTCTGCAATGAAGCTGTGTAATTTTGTATTTTAAGTTTTGTTTGATTGGTTAGGTTTCATCCGAGGTAGTTTTCTACCTGCTAGGCAGAATAAAGAGATTAGAGAAACCTGCACTTTCTAATCCTGGTAAGATAATTAAAATGTCTGGACTGTGCATCTGGTTGTAGCACCGGTTCTTTGAAAGGCAGCGTCCTTAGCAGGGAAACAGAGGGATACAGAGCATAATGACTATGTAAATCATCGATGTGGTTGTTGGTCCGTGGGATTGTTTGTCATGTGCAGCACTTGGTTTTTGACAGATTCCTGCTGCATTATGTCAGGAGACAGCGACTGCACCAGGACAAGTCCATCAGCAGGGTCTCCATCAGACAACGAGCTCTTGCCAGATCGGCCAAAGTATGTTTGTTCACTGTCTCCTGATCTCGTTACCAAAGCCCGGGAAGAGCTCCAAGAGAAACCTGAATGGAGGCTCCGTGACGTGCAGGCGCTCCGGGATATGGTGTGCAAGGACTATCCCTCCCTGGGGACGTGCCTGGACGATGCTTTTTTGCTGAGATTCCTCAGAGCCAGGAAGTTCGATTACGATCGAGCGCTTCAGCTCCTGGTGAACTACCACACCTGCAGGAGGACCTGGCCCGAGGTGTTCAGTAACCTGAAGCCATCTGCAATAAAGCCTGTCCTGGAGTCAGGCTTTGTCACTGTGCTGCCTCATCGGGACCCGGAGGGACGTCACGTCGTCTGCATCCGCCCAGGTACTGAGTCAATGCCTGAATGTCTTTGTTCTCCGGCCTCGAGGTGTGTCTGGGCCAAATACTTGTTCCCTGCTCCCCTGAACAGTGGGGCTTGTACAGAGTATGTGGGTTCTCTCTGAAATTTGAAAAGCTGGCTTGTGAAGGGACACGCTGGTCGTTAGCCAGCATTATTCCAGTTCCTTTTCCTGTGTCAGCAGTAACTGCAGTCATGTCAAAATGAAAATGCAGTGAGGTGGGTCGATGAAATATCAGACAATTCAAGGAAAACTAATGTGTAGTAACTCAAATTGAAGCAGGGCTGCTGGCCTACACTTAGAAGCTTATGATTTGCTTTGACAGTAAGCAGAGAGAGGAGCCTATGGCTCTGGCTCCCATGTAAATAATCAGCCTTCCGTGTGCTTTTGGTGCTGCCAGGCTTGCTGTAAATTTGTCTTCATTCATTTTCCTCTTTTCCATTTACCTGCTTTCTTTCTGAGCTGAAACTGCTAATGAGCTGTGCTGTGTGGAGAACGGGGTTCTGAAAACCATTGCCTTTGCTCCCTGAAGTAAACATGAGTTGCCATTTCCCTCTTGCTTAAGAAAGGTATATTTCTTAATATACAGTTCTGCTCTGAACTAGAACTGTGGCTATTAGAGACTAGCTTTTAAGAGTCCAGGAGAACAGAAATTCAGTTTTTGGAATGTGTTTTGTTAGCTTATATTTACTCTCCGACTTACCATCCATGTCTTGTAACCTCAGACAGATGGACACCCAGTAATTATCCGATTACTGAGAACATTCGTGCCATATACTTAACCTTAGAAAAACTCATTCAGTCCGAAGAGACCCAGGTGAATGGAATTGTAATCCTGGCAGACTACAAAGGAGTCAGCTTATCTAAGGCGTCTCATTTTGGTCCTTTTGTAGCCAAAAAAGTGATTGGAATTCTTCAGGTAAGACCTGAACTGGTGGGAAAATAAGCTTGTGCATTGTAAATGACTGCTTCTGTGTCTTAGAGTTCTTGACTGTGTCACCACAAACTTCATCATCTTGGCTTTTGCCAGCAGAGTTAAACATGTCTCAGCCCAACCAGTTTCTCACACCCTTACTGCTGATTTACCTCACTTGCCCTTTTTTTCTTTTTTGATTTTTGCATCCCTAAAACTAAATTTGCATTAGAAATGCAAACTTCTGAGCTGGAACAGCAAAAAGCAGTTCTGCTAGGTGGTGGTAAGGAAGAGAGAGAGCAGAGAATTACAGTTAGAGAGGAGACAGTGAGGAAATGGCTCGTTGTTTAAAGGGTTGCTGTTGGCAGAGATGGAGCCAACCCCTGGGCAAGTGAAGGTTCCAGTTCAAGTGCTGCTGAAAAAAATTTGGCAGAGAGGACTTTTGTATGGGTGTCATTTGAGGAGGATTTCTATCCATGCCCTGAAGGCAGAGAGGCTTCTCAGCATAGAGATGGCAAAAGAGACAGTAATAAAAAGCATCTCCTCCTTGATGTCTGGAAGGAAAGTGGTGGAGAGCAAGTGTAAACACAGTGGAGTTGGACAAAACAAGGTGAAAGGAGTGAGGGGTAACCTGGCCAAAGTGGCAGGAAGGTCTGATGATTTCCCTTGATGTTGATACAATCTGGGGGGGTGAGATGAGAAACCTTCTCTTGAAGGGGTTCATGCCCTCATTACTTTTGTTCTGGCCTGACTGGTTATGTTCTTTGTTGTATCCATGGGGGGGATAAGGAAGGATAGAGTGAATCAGGGGTGTTTGCAGAGATGAGACCAGTGAGTTTAGGAATGACTTTATAAGAACTCACTCCTTTAAAGTATGATCTAAATGTGTCATTTAACTGTGAGCCCATATTTAATTTGTACAAATAAAATGATGGATGTTACTAGTGGAAGCTGCTCACAGAACAACAGCTGAACTTGTGGAAGGCCATAAAGGTATGGGTGGTATTTAAATGTGTTGCACCAGCCTTGCTGAGCTGCAGCTCTTGTAAAGAGGAGCTAATTCACTGACCTTCCCAGGGAGAAAAATCCTCCAGCAATGCATGTTATGTGCTTTTCACTCCAAGCAGTGACTGCTTGCTTTTATAGGTAGAACTGGTTATAAGGGAAAGGAGTTTCACTGTGGCACGTGAGACCTGAATTGCTGATCATGAGCTTTTCCCTTTGAAAAATATTTCTGCAAATAAATTTCTCCAGCAGAAATCCCATGATTAACTGTTGTTTTAAACTGTCTTGTATAGGAGATCCTGTGTGTGTCCTGCTGGCAGCAGAACCTGTTTGTCTTTCCCAGGTAGTGTGATAGAATAGCTGGAATGGCAGAAAGATTGCAATATTAGATTCCTTCTTTACATAAAGACACATTTAGGGTGTCTTGGGCACCAGATCTTGTAGTTGGACACAGTGTTGGAAGCAGCTGCTCTGGTGCTGAGTGTGGACCACTTTGTGACTGTGACTTATCAGGGCTGGGAATACCCAAAGGACAGGGATTTTCTAAGTGTTTTTGTCAAGGGAGATGAAGATCAACATAAGAAATGAGGATTTACTGACAACAATGTGTTTATTGATGGAGGATTTTCTTGCCTCTTGACTTTGTTTTTATGCTCATAGATCTCATCCTAAGACTGTTGCCTGTAACAAGTTGCATTTCTGTTGCTGTATTGGTTTATGTTGGTACCTCAGATTAAAGTTTGGGAGCCAAACTTTAATGGGATGTGCTGGCAGTCAATCTCAGGAGATTTAGAAAAGAGGAAGGTGGCAAATGTTTTTTAAACTGCATTACAAAAATCTTCTTTACCCTTCAGGATGGATTCCCCATTCGAATAAAGGCTGTTAACATAATAAATGAGCCTCGTATATTCAAAGGCATTTTTGCAATCATCAAGCCTTTTCTGAAGGAAAAGATAGCAAACCGGGTAAGGATTTGTGTGTGATTTTAATGTTAATATTAATGTTTGTAAGTTCCTTGCTTGGCCATTCTGAAAAAAAAAAAAAAAGTTGTAAAACTTGACAGCTGGAAAAACATTGGTGCCATTTTACTTGATCTAACGGATCCTTTCTGCTTTAATTTTTAAAAATATGCTGTTGGGAAAATTCTCTGTGAGAGAGAAACTTTGAGGAACTTAACATGGGCATAATATTAATATGGGACTTTAGTACATATGCTCTGTATTCAGGACATAAATTCAATCCCTGCAGTTGGATTATTTGGGCCAGTAGCACTTCAGTTCTGAGGAGGTGTCACAGGAAACCTGTGTTGCACCTTCCTCACCCTTTTCCTTTATGCAAGTGTCCTGTATGGCACAAGTACCCTCTCCACAGGACTGGGTGTGGTTGCCAATGATTAAGGGTTTTTTTCCATAGGGATAAATACTTTCAATCCCATGAACAAACTTGGTGATGAGTTGAATTTGGAACCTCAGCACAGACAAATGTCAGGTCTCTGTTGCTGGGAGTTGATCTGCACTAGATGTGAGTTGCCTCAAGGAATAAGGACTGTTGTGTGCCCATAAGGACATCACCCCTAAAATTTGCTCTTTAACTCGGAATAAGCTGGTTAGCTGACTGCTTCAGCAATTTGCTGCAGAGTGTTCGGTGTGCACTTTTAAAGCTCTTTTGCTTTCTTCTTCAGTTTTTCCTTCATGGCTGTGACCTGAATTCCCTTCATCAAAACATTCCCCCGGTGATCCTTCCTGAGGAGTACGGTGGCACCGCAGGCAAGCTGGACATCTCTGCGTGGAACGAGCTGCTGCTGGCCTCTGAAGAGGACTTCCTGCACGACTTCTCCCAGCTGGTGGTGGCCTGTGACAGCTCCCCCCACGACATGCTCGTGAGTGGGGATGCCGATGAAAAGCAGTGTGATGATTCTCTGCGGGGCATGAAACCTCAGCTCTATTACTGCTACTGAGAAACCAGGGCAGGGGGGTTTGCCAGCAGTTCAGGTCTGCTCTCATAGGTGATGTTGTGAACTCTGCCTTACTCCTAAACCTGCAGTTTAGGGACAGACTGCTGAGGCACTTTACACTGTAGAACCAAAGGAAGCTGGAGAGGGCACAATGGGGGCAGGGCAGAGTTCGGGGAGAATAAAAGCGAAGAGCACAAGTTATGTAGAAGACTTGAGGCTCATCAACCTCCAGCTGAATGATGCAGATGGCCTGTTCTTTCTAATGATAAAGGGAAAAAAATATTGCAGGATCATAAGCTTGATATTTTCTTATCCCCTCCCCTCACAGGTGAAAAGTGACAATGATGATTTACTAACTTTGTGATCATCTGTTCCCTTCCCCTTCTGCAAACACCAGTAACCCAAGAAAAGAAAATGGCTTGTGAACCCTGCAAAATACAGTTCTGTAGTGAAGATTGCATAAACCCATAAAAGTCTTAACTTGGCCTGTCCTCTGTCACATGGTTCAGATTGTGAGTTGGCATTTCTGAAATATCTCAGTGAATATTTGGCTTAAATTAATACAGAACAAAACTTATTCACAAATACCCATATGGAGAACATCTCCAAAACTTCCTCACTGTAGGAGGAACTGTGACTGATGGATTAACTACTACAACATCTATACCATGTTTGCACAACAGGTGCAATCCTCACTTTCGGAAAGCAGGAAGTTTCTCAGATAAGTCCTTTTGACTAGACAACAGCTTCAAATAATGAGGTTCAGGACCAAATAAAAAAAAAAAGCTGTGTCAGGCACCTTCCCACATTGTCAGTTCTTTTCTGGTTGTGATGAGGAATTGGGTAAGTACCTCCTCATACCCAGAATTCATGAGGAGGCTTTGTAGCAGTTGGCATGTGATGTATAGAAGGCAATACTTCATTGTAAGACAGCAAGGTGCTGCTTTAGCTTGTTACTTTGGGCTGAATTTGAGTTTAAGTCTGTGAAACCAAATGCAGACAGGCTTTTTAAAAGCACATTCCTAAATTTCCTGATATTGTAGCATTTTGTTCACTGTGCTTGTTGGCTCTTTTGTGAAATGTTACAAGTTTGTTTTTTTTAAACTGTGTTAACCTCTTTTGTCTTTGGTTGTCATGTTCCTGTATGAAGTTAGACTTGAGTCATCTCTGTGATATTTACTCATTGCTTGTATGCCTGTGCTTCTAGGTCTTTGTCTAGAGACAGAACTAAGACTCCAGTGTCAAGCCAGGGTAAGATACTGATGTCTAAATAAGCTGTTCCCACTCCCCAAGCTCTTTTTGTTTAATGGTCTTGACTTAGAACTTAACTCTCAGCACACTCTTTGCACACGTTTTTCTGCACTATAATGGTGTGGAGATGGGAACCTCACTAGGACCAGGAAAGTACACCCTGTCACTTCAAGGTGAGATATTTCACTATTTGGTGGAAAAGAATATCCCTTCTAATTGGGGACTTACTTCTAGAGCACTTTCTCTGGATGAAATCTTGATTTAGTGCCAAATGGGATTATAGGCACCAGTTATGTTTCTGTAAATATAAACCTAAAGCATCTTGAGGATCTCAGACATTCATTTTTCAAAGTGCCAAACTCTGTTTTGGATCTCTTTCTTCCTCTCAGTCCCCTTACAGCATAACTGCATTGCCAAAAAGAGCCAACTCTACCCCTGTAACGACTTCCTGACCTGGCAGCAGATCTCATCCTGGAACGAGGGGGTAGCAAATGCCATTCCTGTCATCCAGGCTTTATAAAAAGAGACTGGGTCTTGCAAAAGGGGTAAAACCATGAAGCTTTTTTTTTCCTGGGTGGCAGTTCAGAATTTGTGGAAGCAGAGGACTCATCACGTGAACAGTTTTAGATTAAAGGTGAGAAGAAATTAATTTTCCTTGGTGAAATTAATTCCTTGATTTTTCTTACCTTTGTAAGTCAATTGAAACTTTTCTTTGATAGCTATTACCTTTAGTGTGGAGATAAAAAACCAAACTACCATTTTCATCTACTTGAACTAAGGTGAAAGAGTACTGCTAGCCACCTCCTCCTTTGTGACCACAATGCTCTGTGTGTTTTGCAGAGATTAAATCAGATTTTTGCCTCACAGCAAGGCAGTAACACACAGGACTTAGGGCAGGTCAGTGGCTGCCCACGCTGCTGAACTGCCAGAACAGAAAGGATGGTGGTTTTTTGTTGTTCTTCTGCCTCTTAATTCCAGTCACAATGTACAACTAAAAAAAATTAAATAGGATGGACCATTTTTCCTGGAGATGAAGGCCTGACTGACAGTGGTGCTGAGGGGTTGGAAGTGGTGGTAGTTCAGCAGTTAACTGCAGGAACAGCTGCTTTGATCCCCTTATGGAACTACTAGAGAGGGAGCTGGAATACTCAAAATTCAGTGTCCTTCAAAAAGAAAGGAATCTAGTGGTGTTCAGCAGAAGACTGAGGAACCTCTACAAAACCCACCCCCTTTTCCAGGCTTTTGTACTCTCCTGCATGCCTTAAATAGCAGGCAGCCTAGATCCACCTCACCTTCTTCTTTCCTCTGCTCACAGAGAAACTTAGAATAAATAACATGATTTAAACATAATAGATAAGGCCACGTGGTTGTGCTGGCTTTGGGTGGGGTGGAGTTATTTTCTTCACAGGGCCAGTCTGGTGCTGTGAGAGCCAGCAGCCCTGTGGTCCTTGGTTGCTGGCTGGAGTTAAACCCCCACAATTATCAATGCTGAAAACTGCCAGTCTTGTGCCTCCAGAAATTATTTCTCTTAAAGCTGCCTGCTGGGCAGTTATGTCAGGATGCTTGAGCTAAGCCAGGCTTACCTTTAGCAAGCATCTGTTATTTCTAATTTGCTCTTTCTTGGCTTTAGAACTCGGACAAAAGTTGCAGCTTCACTGAGCTGTGTTTCTCATCCTGAACTGTCTCGAAAACCAGGCTTACAGGAAGCACAGCTCTGTGTTCTGTGCACCTGGCTACAGAGCTGAGAATGTTCTTTGAGCTTTAGCACTTGCTAGTAAAGAAATCAGTTTGTTCCCAGAATTTCTCGTGTCAACATTTGGAAAAACAAACACTTGTGTTTTAAATATAAACACAACTCTCCTTATATTTAAGAGAAGAGCTAGGAAAAGCTTACAGGCTGGGGGTGTTTTTTGCTTGGGGTTTGTTGTTTGTTGTTTTTTTTCTTACAGCACTACAACCAATCTTTTTTCCCCACTTGAAATAACTTTGTTTCCAGAGGTTATATGCCTTGCCCAGTACATAAGGCCATCCCTGACAAATCCAAGACATAATAAGGGAATATACTTGAACTTCATTGGCATGAGGTGGGACAAAAGGTAGCTGCAAACTGTACATTAAAGTACTTGAATTTATACTCTTGCAAACGGGTGTTAAGAGCCCTGAGGTATTTTCAGGAACTGGCTTAAGTATTGTTTTTGTTAAATCTCATTTTGGCATGAGTTAAATCGTAGTGTTACTCAAACTAGTAATTTTGCCTTCTGTTGTATGTGGGCCTAGAGGTGTTGGGTGGTTAAGTGTACATCTTATTTTGACAAAATTTATTTTTATATTGCATTTTATAAAATGAAGTCGTCAAAAATGTGTAATTTTATGATGCATGACTGGGTAATTAAACACATTGTAACAGCTGCTAATTTGATATTTTCAATATGTTTGCCTCGTGTCATGTTGGGATATTTTCCTGTAAAAAGTCAACAGCAACACACAAGTTTCACTAAACACACAGTTGCAACTGAGTATAATCACCACAGCACTGAGTTGGCAAAAGGTGTTGCTTTCTACTGCAGAACTGAAGTTTACTTGAACAACTGTACCTGAGCCATTTAAGGGATGGGATTTGACATTCAGAGAATCACATGGAAGGTGCTGTTGGTTCCAAAAGAAATATTTTATGACTTACTTATTTGCTGCACGGAGAAAACACCCAGTCCCATCCCACTGGACACTGCAGCAGCTGATCACTGTGTGTGGTATTTTCCTCTGGAGAATTAACTGCTGCTCAACAATTAACAACTGGGCCACTTTCAGTAGTTAGTCTGCTTTATTCAAATGAGTTTACAGTGCAAATGCCTTAGTGCCAATCATAATAATATCATGTACAATATTTTTATAAGCCTATCAGACAAGTCGAATTAACCAATCAATAAGCTCTATTTTTCCAACATAATCATAAAGTTGATTTAAGCTACTGATACACTTACCACTCTAACTGACAAACATACTAAAAAACAAGTAACCATAGAAGTTGCCCCTTAGAAAGGGCAAGTTTGTTCTTAAAAAGAATTAATCAGTTTTTCAACCTCTGAGTTCTGTTCTTTCAGTGAGGAACAAAGGGCTTTTTTTTTTTTGCCACAACAAAAAGTTAAGTAATTTAAATAAAGTTTTCCTTTAAATAAATTTTTGCAGTGGAATGTAGAAATCAAGCAGCATGGCTTACACTTCCAGATACTGAAGCATTAGCATACTAGTGCATTATGCTGAATATAAGTGTTCTTTAAAATATATTACTTCATATTTAGCTAAATGTTACTTCTATTCAACAGAAGGTTGTGGCTACTGGACAGAACAGATAATTTCTTTTGTGCTTTAACAGCACAGCTGTAGTGAATTTTAAAAATGCAGTAACAACCCTGATGAAGGTTAAAATAGAAAGATAACTGATGATAATTTTGGTGCTGCATCAAGCTTTATGCAATATATAACTTTCTATCCAACTGCATGTTAATATCAACGTAAGAAACAGTAACTAAAGCAATAAATGAACGTTTTGGCTTTCAGCAAAAGAGTTCCTCACTTTTGTAAGCTCAGACAGGTGCAGCAAGTTAACTGAAGTCTCTATTAGTAAGGACAAGAGGAGCCACTAAGGTCCAGAGATAGAGAAGCAGACAAACCCAGCTGGAGGTTATCTTCACCCACACGGCCGGCCACTTGCTTGTCATTGTCTTGAAATCTGCATCAGGGCTAAAAAAGAAAAGAAGTCACTTAGTAGATAGAGAAAGCACCTCCCACTGCTCCTTGCTAGCTCTCTATGAATCTGAAGTTCAGGCAATCATTTGGGACACTCCAGTGCAAAAGCCTTTGTGAGAACACAGCGAGACAACTAAACCAGCAATTTCCTGTGGCTCCTTCACAGGCCTCTTGTTCTTGGGACCCAGTTGTCAAACCTGCTTGCCCGTGCTGATGTGCTGCTCTTGAAGGAAATACCTGCATGAGCTGAGCAAGAGACCCCTGATGGCTGCTCTCTAAGTGTATTTGCTGATTTATACCGTGTGCCAGTCCTGGGGCAGGTGGTTACGAGCTGCAGCAGCAGAGGGTATGTCCAAGTGTTTCCAACAGATGTAGGAAATGACATCTCTGATGCACAGCACGTATGGCTGTCCCTGCACATCCTTCCCAGGGTGAAGAGCCAGCACCATCAGGCTGGCCTCTGACAAACTTCCCAGGAGGCCTCCTGGAGCCAGTTTCATATGTATCCTTCCTGCTACTTGCTCATCTGAAGGATGGCAGCCCCACTGTGCCCTTGCAGTCCCCCAGGCCCACAGCTGCTGACTGTGCCTTTTTACATCTTCATTCAGTTACACAAAACTGAGAAGGCACAACTCTATAATGAGCTGGCACAGGGACAGCACTTAAAGGAGCTTGGCAGGATCAGCCTACAGGGCAGGAGTCTCCTACCCACCTGGGAACACTGGCTGGCACATACAATCACTTTCCATCTTGCTCCTACCTGTACCAGTTGGTGAGTGTCATCATGATGTAAAGAGAGGCAAGAAAGAGCATGAAGTGGAAGAAGGTGTAGCTGTACTGAACACCCTCCTTCTCGTTGTCCGTGACACGGCGCACGTCCCCCTCCTCCGCAGCCCCGCTCCCCGTCCCCAGGCTCTCCTCCAGGATGGCAGTGTCACTCCCAGACAGGGTCAGCTTGTTCACCTGGCTGTTACTGGAAGAGCGGATGCTGCAGTGGAACAAGAGAGCTGTGGTGAGAAACCCCTTTGGCTGTTTGCTAATACAGCAACAGAGCACACGGAATGTCAGCGAGCAGCAAACGGGATTTTTTTAAATCCATCTGGAAAAATAAGGGAACTCCTCAAAGAAAACTCTTCTCATCCAAGCTTTTGTTAACCTAGGTAAACAGCAATCCTAGTCCAGATCATAGAATTGCCTGGGCTGGAAGGGACCTTAAAGATCTAGTTCTAACCCCCCTGCTGTGGGCAGGGATACCTTTCACTAGACCAGGTTGCTCAGAGCTCCATCCACCCTGGCCTTGAACAATTCCAGGGGTGGGCCATCCATAACTTTTCTGGACAACGTGTTCCAGGGTCTCACCCCCATCACAGTGAAAAATTTCTTCCTAATATATAATCTAAACCTACTCTCAGTTTATGCCATTCCTCCTTGTCCTGTCACTACATGTCCTTGCAAATAGTCTCTCTCCATCTTTCTTGTAGCTCCCCTCAGGTGCTGGAAGGCTGCAGTTAGGCCATCCCTAAGCTGCCTTTTTTCCTGGCTAAACAGTCCCCATTCTCCCAGCCTTTCCTTGTAGGAGTGGTGCTCCATCCCTTTAATCATCCTGTAACACATGTTCTGTTGTCTGGATTGGGGCTGATAAAGCCTCTCCTCATCCACAAAGCTGAACGCAGCTTTATGGGCCTGAGACAGCAGCTGGATGGGAATAAATGCAGGTACATTTTGCACTAGACCCAGGCTCTAACAAAAGAGGCAGACAAATCCCAACTGTTTATCACTGGATAGCAGCGCAGATCCTACCTGGAATACAAGAGGCAAAGGACAAAGATAACCAGTCCAACAACACTCTGGGCATCCCACCACTGCAGGGACTTGGGTGGAGCAGGAGTGGCAGGTGGGACAGTGGCATTGGCTGGAGCAGCTGTGGGTGCAGCTATCTGGGTGATGATGTTCAGCAAACTTGGGTTACAGTTTCTTTCTGAAAGGGATTTCAAGGCAGATTAGAGAAATGAGCTTTGCCAGCACTTAACTAAGAAAAGATGACAGGTAAGCTTGCAACTTCTCATTCCCTTTAACTGCTGATCTTTTCCGTTCTCCAGAGGCAGAAATGACCTGGAACATTTTTCCTTCCTACGAGCTGGGCAAGGGTGTAATAAATAAATAAAAATGTAAAATCAGAATGCCCTAACACTGGTTTATTTTCCTCACAAATACCCCAGTTTAGTTCTGCAAAAAGGCAGTCTGATGGTTTCAGTAAGGTCAGCTTTCCAGCCTTGCTGAATTTTATCTAGACAGGTCAGCAATCCCCACACTGTGATCTGTAACAACCATCAGCAGCTTCTGCTTTCACACCAACACTTGAGACTGTGTGCTGCTTACCAGGCTCGTTGGACATGGCTGCCCAGGTGAGGTACATGGTGTAGAGTGTGATGACAGAGGACTGGAGGAGCCCAGAGCGAGGCTGATGTTCCTGTTCCAAAACAGAAGAGCAAGCCAAGGTCAGAAGGGCAAGTTTTACCTGGGGTTGGATAGTTTTACCCTGCTGCCACAGAATCAGCAGTTACTAGCATGAAAAAACTTTGTTTTAGAAATGCTCTATGTTCAAAAGACTGGGAGAAACTCCTTAGTCATGTAACTTATGCAGGAAGCAACTCAAGCATGGAAGGAATAAGCAAACCAAATTGTTTTTCTGTGGCCAATACTCTGTTATGGATTCTCACTGAGCTAATCCCAGCTTTTTAACCAATGTTGTAGATGTCAATCTAGCATGTGACTTGAGCAATACCAGTTCAGAATCAAGTAACGTGCAAGTGTCCTCTTGCATTAAACAAGCTTATCCATAATTTCAAAGCCGCAGTACTAAGCCAATAAATCTCCAGCTCATTTTGCTGCTCCCTAACAGGTTTCTCTGTTCTGCCAGAACCTTCACCACTACAAGCATGTCAGCAGCCCTCCACATGGAAACAAAGTCCAAAACTGTGTTAGCTAAAAAAAGCCTCTCTTCAGAAAACATGTCACTACATAGTGCATTGGTTTCAGAGCAAGGTATTTTTTTTTAAAGTTCCTAGCTAGCATAGCTATTGTAGCCACATTTTTAAGTTCTTATGTCTGACTGAATTGGTAGTACATCATTTCCACTTCTGTGCTTTATATGTTAGAAGAAAATACCAGAGAAAAATACCTGAACTTTTGGAAGGATAGAAACGATGGAGACAGCAATGCACAGGATCATGTTAAAGCTTATGAAGAACTTGTTCTCAGTGCAGTCATCAGGCTTCGTGTAGAAAACGTAGAAGAGAACAACAAACACCAGGGACAAGGCATAGAACAAGCTTGTACAGGACAGGAGAGCTGCAATTGTTACAACACAGTGCAGTTTTAACAGTACATCTGAAGTGATTCCATGTCCAGCTACCACAGCAATCAGACAGTCCTCACTTGGCAGGCTGGGCCAGAAAACTAAAGTAGCACAATGCATTTTTATTAGGTATGGCTGAATTTCTGCTTGGGCTTACTAAGTGGTGTAGCTCAGAGGAAAGCCAGTGCTGCCATCAGGGGAGTAAGGCTTGCCTTTCAGCATCAGTTTTAATTAGTTTAACTGATGTCAAGGCACAGTGACAAAATCAGAGTACGTTTTGCACACTCCTCACGGGCATTTATCAGCCCTGAATTCCTCCTCCT